TCATGCATCCGAAGACAACAGCCAGAGAGCATAGAAAACACAGAAGCATAAAGTGATAAAAATATTTCAAGGGCATCAAAGCATTAAATATATTTCTGAATGGGTTTCAGTATCATTATCCATATGGCATGGAATCATTTTCTTTTGTCTGTCAGTGTGTGATCCTCTTACATTTTGGCTGTCTGGACTACTTAAAATTCCAAGCTCTTGAAGCAAACAGAGCATCAGGATTATCATGATTTGTTGGTAAGGTGCAGCAGCTCTCTGGAAGATGCTTAAGCAATGAGGAGCATGGGCTGAGGATTGTCCCTTCACTATACATTGGGGAAAGGATGCTAGCCTCTGTAATAGCAAAAGGTCAGCAATCCAGGCATGGTCCAGGGCTGAGGAGCTTTGCAATTTCTTACCACAGTTCAGGAAAATACTTAATGCTAAAGATGTCCCATAGAACAGAAGGTCCCAGTAGATGGATAAATACTTGTAGTCTCAGACCATATAAATGAAATATTCATAGGCAAACCCAAAAAAACCACCAATGCTTCGTATCTAGAGTAGAGTCTAGATACTCCAAAGGGCAGGGAGGAAATTGTCAAGAGTAAAGTATCTCTCTCTCCATTTTCACTGAGTCTAGGGTGGCTAGAAAGACTGAGGACAAGAAGCCAGTGGAAGCCCAAGTCCAGGAAAGTAGAAGGGGAGATTTCAAACTCAGGAACTACATTTACAAAAGAGGGGTGACGGGACCCTGAGTCAAGCAGAACCAGGGAGGCCACTGTCATGGTTTATGTCTGTGGCCCCCAGGCCTCATGAGTTTGAATTATGCATTTGTTATTCATTCATTGTCTAGTGCTTGGATTGATGGTGTCGGTGCTCCACCCACAAAGGGGTGGAGCCATGATGTGATGTAATGGCAGGAAGAAGGTGTGTCTTGCTCTTTGCTGGTTCGAGCTTGCTGTCGGCAGCTGCCATGAACTGCAGTCCAGCCATGCCCGCCTGCCTGGGAGCCAACTGAGTGTGGACTGAAACCTCCAAAAACTGTGAGAAATAAACCTTTCCTTTCCCAATTTTGGGCTTCAGGTATTTTGTCTCAGCAATGAGCATAAAGTAACTAAGATAGAATTTGGTACCGGGAGTTGGGCTGTTTGCTGTGACTATACCTGACCATATTTTTCAAGAGGCTTTGAAAATGGCTTGTGGGCGGAGTTTGGAAAGGTTTGGACATGTCACCTGGATGCATAGAGCTGGAGCAGCTTAGGCTATTCTGTAGAGGAGATTCTGGTCAGAGGTCAGGAGACCAGAAGGCTGATAGAAAGCTGGATGGTAAAGACCAGGCTTGGGAAGTTTCTGCTGGGAAGGACTGCATTGGTCATTGGACTCCACATGATGTGTGTCATGGTTTGGCAGAAAGTTTGTCTGCATTTTGTTCCTGCCCAGAGACTTTGCCTGAGACTGAGACAAAGGGCAATGGACTGATTAATCTTGAAAAGGAAATTAAAAAGCAATCAAACATTGAGGCTATGGCATGGCTATTGTCGGGGGCTTTCAGCCAGCTTTATGTTTCAAATCAGGAGCAAAGAGCCCAGCAGGATAATGTACAATGCTGTGAGTTTGGCCCAAAGGAAAATTCCAGGAAGGCTGTGGATTGTAAAGACAGAGTTGAGATTTTGATTCCTGAGGAGAAACAGAGAGATAAGAAAGATGGCCCCGGGGCATCCCAGGAAGCGGGTCCCCACCCTGTGCAGCCCCACAGCAAAGATGAAAAACTTTGCTGAGGGGAAAGCTGCAGAGCGCCATGTTCCAGAATGGCGACAGCGGCCATGTGAGGTTCCAGAATGGCGGCAACATAGAGAAGCTTTTTCTCACAATCAGGTAAACAGAACCCTGCGATCCAGGCAACTGACCCCTACAGCCAAGAAAGAGAATAGCCTGGCTACTGCTTCAGCTAGCAGCAAACCTTGGCAGCATCCACAAGGTGCTGATTTTAGGTGCAAGGAAAATGCACAAATTCTGAGGGTAAAACGGCTTCCACCTCGATTGCAAAGGGCCTGGGAGGCCAAGCAGTGTGCCCCTGAGAGGGCAATTTGTGAAGATGTAAGTGTGAAGCCAAAGGTGCAGTGGAAACCCCAGAAGTTTGGAAAAGCCAGGAATATGGATGATCCAAGGGAAGCTGCAAAAAGCAAGCAGAGAAGATTTAAGAGAAAAGCTGCAGGAGTTGAAATCACTGGAAGTGCCCTGGGGGTGGAATCACCCAAACCTTTTGGAGCTTGCAACCAGATTGCTTCAGATGCTGAGTGTAGAACTCTAGGACTTAATGTTTGCCCCCACTGGATATTGGAATTGCTTTGTTTCAAATGCTTTCTATTCCCGTTTGTAACTTTTGGAAAGATAATGTTTATCTTGTGCCTTTGCATTTCAGAAATGTTTAACCTTGTTTCATTTATACAGGAGTTACAGTTAAGAGTTTGCCATAGATCTTGGAGGAGACTTTGGACTTGGACTTTTCAACAATGCAGAAGATGTTAGGACTTTGGCAACTCTTGGAGGTGGACTAAATGTCTTTTTTATAAAGGATGTACATGATTCCTGGGGGCCAGGGGTGGAATGTCATGGTTTATGTCTGTGTCCCCCAGGCATCATGAGTTTGAATTATGCATTTGTTATTCATTCATTGTCTAGTGCCTGGATTGATGGTGTCAGTGTTCCACCCACAAAGGGGTGGAGCCATGATGTGATGTAGTGGCAGGAAGAATGTGTGTCTTGCTCTTTGCTGGTTCGAGTTTGATGTTGGTGGCCTCCATGAACTGTAGCCCAGCCATGCCTGCCTGTCTTGGAGCCAACTGAGTGTGGACTGAAACCTCCAAAAATTGTAAGAAATAAACCTTTCCTTTCCCAACTTGGGCTTCAGGTATTTTGTCTCAGTGAGGAGCATAAAGTGACTAAGACAGCCACCTTGGTGCATCCTTGTAAGTGAAGAGACAGAACAAGCAGGTTTCAACTGGGTAAGGCTCTGGAACATGTTCAGAGGAAGCAACATGCACAAGACATAATTGAGGGCAGATGTGAAGAAGTGAGGGAGGCAGATGAGAAGACAAAATAAGTCAGATATTCAGTCTCCTAACTTCTGCTCCTTTTCCCAAGGATTGTTAATAGAGTCATCCAAGTTCTATTCTGTGAGGGAGTAAGATAAAAGACAGAGGGGTTCCACAATTCAGGGAGGCACCACTGGGAGGTAAGTGGCACCCTAAGTCCCATCAGGATGGGGCATCAGAGGGACAGCCAGGTGCACACCTTAGACAACAGCAGTGAATCATCTCACCAGCAGGCTAGAGGGAAAGATTGAAGCCAAAATAAGATGGGAGAAGGAAAGAGGAGCAAGTTAAAAGCACCCAGGGATCCAAGAGTGAGAAGCCAAAAAGCCAACCTGGAAATGTTTGGGATAAATTCAGGTCACCAAAGCTGCTGTCCTCAAGGTGACAGCTGAGATCACTCAGTGGAACCAGGCAGGAAGGACACGAACATCCCAGAGGCAATCAAAACGGAAGGAAGGAATAGGCTTAGTGATAATAATCCTGAGCTGAGTGAAACAAAGAGAAGAAAGAGTCCTTATAAGTCCTTCTGCCTCTATGGGGCTTTACCTCAGTAATCTAGACAGATATTGGACCTAGAAAACTGGATACTGCTGAAATTTGACAAGACTGGAAATTCCAAGCCTTCTTCAGGGAGTCCTAAATAAACAAAGATCTAACTCACAAAGCAGGCTTTCCTTCATTTGCAAGTCTAATTTATGCAAAACCACCAGAGGCCAGAAGTAGATTTTATTACCAACCTTCAAGCACTTTCCACTGTGAGGACTCCCAGATTTATGGGCTGCTGTGTTTGTTGAACTGAATTGAACCCACGTTGGAGACCGGTGTGCTGAGAACTTTCTGAGTGCCAGGTCATGTGCTCAACCCCAGGGAGAACAAAGGTGAGTTAGACCTAGTTCCTTTGCCTGGAAGAGCCAAGCAATGACAAGTGCACTAGTAAACCACCCCTGACTCCTGCGGCGGATGTTGTAAACATTTAAGTCAAGGTTAAGGTCATCTCCCTTTTCCCCTACCCACGCATATAAATACCTATAAATTTTTCATCAAAATGTCATATAGACATTTAAAAGCAGAGAAATTGCAAAAGGAATATTTATTACTGCCATGGAGTCATAGTATAATCCTATTTGTTTAAGAACAAAGCTGATCCTTAAGTTGGTACATTGTAGGCCAGATTTAATGAACTACTAAATAAACAGGTACACAGTTGCATTTTCATCCCAGAGCACTAGGCTGGCTACATTATAGTTTTTTCCTCTAATCTCCTCCCATTGCTTAGGTTTAGATTGTCACTGTGGACACTGAAATGTGAACATGTTCTGTGCCTTGATTTTTAAAAAATTCATTTTTGTTAGTTCACAACATTCTCTTTGGTACAGCTCTCTAAAAGTTTGCTTAAATTAATCAACTTTTGTTCTTTTTATTAAGTCAAACGAATCTGAAAACCGATGCCAGTGTATTTCCTACACACATTGTCTGGGTCTCTTATAGCTGAGACAAGAAATTGGTAAGAACCAGGCCCACTATGTGTCTAGGACCAGAAAACGAAGAGTGATCCCATGACTTCTGCTATCTTTTGACTTAAATATGTATATTTAAAATCATGTAGAAATGAAAAATACAGACGGCCATACTTCTGTACTTCCAAATCCTAAATGGACCTCCCTCCTGATTCTGAATTGTTATGTGTTTTATGAGGTGGGACTCAAAAATATGATGAACGTTTAAATTTGTTTTTATTTGTTACATTAAAAGATGCATTGCCATAAATATCCCTAAGAATAGTCCTCCTCATTTTTTCTACACTTATCCCCTCATTTTTCCACTTTCTGAAGCAGTTCTGTAAGTCCTCTTTCACAGGTGTCTATATTTGCAACAGGTCAGATTGTTTACCTGTCGCGATCTTTTTGACTTCAGGGAAGAGCCAGAAGTCACCCAGCCCCAGATCCTGTGAATAAGGTGAGTGAGGACACATCAGCATGGCTTTAAGAGCCTGCCTTTCCCCTCGATGGCACTCAGAGGCAGCAGTCACCACATTCATCACACCTCACCAAACAAGACTTCAGAACTGTCAGAAAGTGACAAGAATAAGACAGTAAGTATGTTAAAGGGGAGGGGAGTATTTTTGAGGGAGCATTTGAGGAGGATTCATGGCACTGTGTCTTTTACTGTACTAATTTTTTATTTTAATTTTAAAGGCTCACAATAGTTTTTCATCACCCTTGCCTGTAGACAGAGCCTCCCTGAACAAGTATAGCTGGCCTCTGAGCAGCCTGAGCAGAGACAAGTGTGGGCACAGATTTGTTCCCTGAGGCTGCTGAAACAAGTCACCACGAAGTCATTCCTGAAAAAAGGGCAAAAACCCATTCTCTCAGGGTTCCGGAGAAGAAGTCCATAGTATCAGGTTTGGGAGCTCTAGGAGAGGACCATGCCTTGCCGCGCCCAGCTTTTGGTCACCGACTACACGCCTTGGTCCATCCCCACATCACACCAATCTGCCTCCATCTTCAGCACATCTGTACTCTGCATGTGTTGAATCCCTCATAAGGACACTCAGTTTGCATTGGAGGCCCATCGAGGGACCGAGGATGTAGGTCAGTGGTACAGTCCTGTTTAGGATGTGTGAGGCCCTGGGTTCAACTCCTAGTCCTGCAGAATAATTGAAAACAAAAGAGAATTCATTGAGGTACTCCAACATCATGTGACCAGGAGAAGACCTTTAATGTAATAGCATCTGCAAAGGCTCAATTTCTGAGCAAAGTGAGAGTTACAGTTTCCAGTGATGATAGTCTGACACCTGTGGGAGCCTGTATTTTCTGTACCCCACTGGGATCCCCTGTGAGATTAGGCTGATGTTGGCATTTCAAAAATTAGACTCTTGCTCAGCTACTCTCCTTTCTCTATACATCGTCAATCCATTTCTTTTTTATCTTTGAGACAATTTTTGGACAACCTCACCTAAGAAGTTCTCCCTGAAGAGAAGGATGTGAAATCTGTTTTGAATTTTAAGCTCCCAAATTTGCAATTTGTTATGGCAGCAATTTGGAACAAATAAAGCTGGAATCTTGTTGATTCCGTAGGGTTTATTCTTCCTTGTGTTGTCTGTAGGAAGCCTCAGGAGAATAAAAATTCTCAGGGAGTTTCTGGTCTAGTGGGTCTTCGTGGAGCATCCGTAGCTCAAAGATAATCAGCTGAAGGAGGCTGCAGATATGAGCAGTTAGGAGAGAAGCACGCAAAACCTCGAGGAAGCCAGAGCCACAATAGGGCATCGCCCGCTTTAAGTTGCAGGTGTTTGGTATTTTGTCCCAGCAATAGATCTGGTTGATGCAACGTATAGGACATGAATACCACTGTCTAGAGGAGAGTTTGATTCTGACCCAGAAACTCGTATCTGTCTAATTTCCTCACTGTAGGGAGCTCAGTGCTCCTGAACTCAGCATTGAGATTCCTCAGCGCTGTTTCTGTTGACCTTGCCTTGTGATAGAGTACCTGTCTTCCTAGAGCCCGCAGCTTGCTTGGCTCCTACTGCTTTCACACTGTCTTGTTTCAGGGGCAGAAATCAGTCAGACAGTACCTGGGTTAGTCCTCAACAGCTGCTGTAGCAAAATATCATGCACTGGTATTTTGATGACAGAAACTTATCATCTTACAGTTCTGCATGTTAAAAATTCAAGGTGAAGATGTTGATGGGGTTGGTTCCCTCCGTGGACCAAGGGGGAGAATGGGTTCCATGCCTGTCCTTTAGCTTCTGTTGGTTTCTTGGCAACCTTTGGTGCTCCTTGGCTTGTAGATCTCTGGCTTTGTTACATGCAAATATCCCTAGCTTTATAAAGACACCAGTTATACCATAGTAAGAGGTCACCCTACTCCACTATGACTTCATGTTAACTAACTACATTTTCAAAAACAGAAAAAAACGTATTCTTAAGGAAGCTTACATTTCTTAGGTACTTGGGGACCAAGATTTCAACTTAAAAGTTTTGAAAAGATCAGTTCAATGTGGAATAAGTCTTAAGGGCTTGCTACCCTTCTTGCAGATATTTCTGACACTCTTTTTCTAGTTTATGTTGGGCTCCACATCCTGGACACTCAGCCTAACTTCCTGGCTACGAGTTCTCTGCCATTTGGTGCTGGATACACAGATAGAGACTATTTTCCCTGGCCTGCCACCGGCTGACTTCAGCCTTAGTTTAAGTAACTTGTCCTGACTATTGACCCAGAAATCCTCTCTGCACTTAATGGCTATCAAGCTAACACAGTGTGGGCATCCAATAAATAGCCATTGAATAAATTAACTGATTAATCATTATCCAACAGGTGGTGCACTCTTCCAGATCCTGAGCCAGCCAGGCTGCTGCTGGGATGTGCATTTAAGCCCCACTCAGCTACATCTCCAGACAAGACATGATCTGGCAGTGAGATATCAGATAAATGACTAAGAATCCATAATTCTTTAACTCCTGCCCTGCAAATCCAGGTTACACAATGCAGCAAAGGAAGAAATGCACACAGATTTCTGATAAGTCAGTAAAGAAGATAAGATCATTCCCAGTCTCCAACGGCTATCAACTATTCCTGTTAAGAAAAATAGACCTTATCTTTTTATAGCTTCCAAGGGTTAGAAGGCAAATGGGGAAAAACTTGAAAGAAAAATGCTTTGATGTAGGTATAGAATTCAGGCGAGTCTGGTTCCAGTGTCGCCTAATGTACATACCCACTTCGCCCCTAATCCTGCCTTCCTTCCTTTTAAGGAGTCCGTACTACCCACATTGCTCTTTCATCTGTAGCTGTTTCTATCAACCCTCTGCCTTCCAAACCCCTTCTTTTGCATTTAGCTTTAAGGCTACACTTTATGTTTACTGTATTTATAGCTCTTTTGTTTTAATCACTAAAAGACAATGGCTGGAACCTCCTTCCTAGAACTTCTCCTAAACCCTATCTTGTTTTTATTTTTATTGTTCCCACATAACTGAAACCTACAGGCTTATTCTTCTGTCTGTAGTGTCTACAGGGCCTAGAGGATCCTTACCCTGAATTGTTTTGCTCTATGACACCTAAGTGTGGCCCCAGTTAAGAGGGGATTTGGGAAATACTCATGTACTTCTATGCCTAACATGTTCAATCCATTCATGAGTAGTTCTTTGCAAAGAGAATTAAATAGCAAAACCCATTTGAAGAATATTTTAACCTTATCTTCAATAGGCATAAAAAGATGAGGAAGGCATTTTGGGGACAGTAAGGAAGTAGTAGTAGAAAACAAGGCTAAAATGTTCAATGTGGAACTACTTCTCTTTTTCAGAGCTCTCCCCAACCTAAAAGGAAGCACCTCATTGTTCATAAGAGCATTAGACATGGAACTGGGCCACTGCCTCCCAGTGTGGTAAACAGTCTGCAAAGTACAGGGAAGAGGTGTTACACCCACTCTTAGAAATACAGGACTAAGAGGACAAGGAGAATGGTACCAAATCAGTCACAAAACATAGTAGATAGTCTGTTCCTGCTATGCCATTTGTTTGTTTTTATTTGTCTGTTGGCTTGTTTGTTTCCATCCAGCATGATCTTTCACTTCTGTCGTAGCCAATTTTGTTAACTTGGTTAGCTTCATGGTGCCTAGGTATCTGGTTCACCAGTTTAGACACTGCTCTGAATGTGGGTGGTCCTCAGACAGTCCAGTTTGTTGAAGAGCTTGAGAACAGAGCAATATACCCTGAAGTAGAAGGAATTCTGCTTTAAAATGGCTACAAAGAAGCTCTGCTTGAGTTTCAAGGCTGTTGTACCATGGAATTTATGCTCAACAGTGCAATGTTAACTCTCACCCATGTTTCTAGCCTGATAGCCTGCCCACACTGAATTTGTTTACCTCACAGTCACTTGAATGAATTCTTAAAAATTACCTGTAAGATTATCAGTAAATGAAAGGATGGAAAGATGGATGGATGGATGGATGGATGGATGGATGGATGGACTGATAAATAGATTTATATTGCTTCTGATTGTCTAGGGGTCCATGACTAGCCTTCCTTGTAAGTCATGCTTCTGTAGGGTGAGCAAAGTCTGACAGTTAATTCAAGGCCAACAATAGCTCCATTCCAAGAGGCACAGGCAGGAAGCAAGGAAAGGACTCATAACATCAGACTTTCCATGAGTGGAGCTGCTTCTTGTATGGCTTAAATAGTCATCCCCTGAAAGATCCAGAAATCCCCTGAGGCAGGTCGCTGTAGTAGTGGGGGGCACAGAGAAATGCTGCTGAGGCCCAGAACTCCAGGGAAAAGTGCTCAAAGGAAGCTGTTCTTGGGTTTTCATTTTTTTTTTTAAGGGATGGAATGAGCCTTCAGGACCTGGAACTCTATTAGGCAAGAGCACCCAGGAACAGGGGAAATAATAGTAAAAAGAGAAAATGAAGTTACTTGGGCTGTATGTAGATTAAAAAAAAATCCACCGCTATCATGTGGGTCTGTCTGAATTTTCATGCATTCTCTGGGCTATCTTCTGCCTCCAAAGGGAATCTGAAACACAGTTCTGGAAGTCTGTGGGAATGTCCCAGGATTCTCTTTCCATGCCTCATCACGCACTCCAAACTGCATGCTTGATTGATTAGGACTTTTTTGGAGATCTCAGTGTCAAAAAAAAAAAAAATCTAGGAAAACATGGCCACAGAACCTCAGAAGTGTTGTCCAGGACACTTTGGAGTCATTTAAAACTTCCAAGAAGTACTATAAGATTAAACAGTCAAGAGTTTTTCTTCAGAGGAGCTCAGAAGATAGAGCAAAATTAAAGTGGATTGAGAATCATAAATCACATTTTTCAGGAAGGCTCCCATTTGGGTAATATGTGGACTGTGATAAAGGACACATCTTCAAGAAGAAAATGGAAGTATGTGGAGGAAGGACCAGGACAGAGAAGACAACCACCTACTAGACCATGGAGGGTGAGTCAAGAAGTTTTGGGAAATAAATATGGAATCAAGTGACGCTGGATCATATTTAGTATCTTCCTTATCTATGCATTCCACCCCACATATGAAGCACTGTGAAAGTGCAAAACACCTCCATGAGCAGATGCTTTTTAAACATTCCCCCTGAACCTCTCTTCATACTAATTCTGGTCACTCCTCCAAGCCAACCTTGCTGTCTGTCCCCAGGCTCCCAGCTCGTTGTGATGCTTGGCTTCAACCTCAGCTGCTCTTAATAAAAACTTTGCTTAATTGGCCTCAGTCTGGCTTGGAAATGCCCCTCCTGGATTGCTTGGTCCCTAAGGCCAAGCTTCCCTCCCTCTACCCAAGTGTGAGGAGAAGTCTCTGGGCCACAGCCAGTCCCAGCTGTTGCCTGACTTCTTCATTCAATGTTTCTTCCTGAGTTGCTGCCATCAACAGTTGTCATTGCAGCTCACATTTAAATGCTTATTATTTGCAGTTTTTAATAGAGATGCAAATCCAGATTATAAAAAGCACTTGTAAAAATAGAATGTCTTTGGCTATAGCGTAACACACACACACACACACGCACACACACAACTGATAGTTTGTGAAATGCCTGTTTGTAAAATAAAGCTGCCTCCTGCAAGCTGTGAATTATACTGTCCTCAGAAAGTGGAGCCACTTTTCTGTGACAGGGGACAGGGTCAGTAAATCAGACTGCTACAAGCCTGTCGAGGAACTGTGGACTTGCAGGGTGAATTAAATGGTCATTTCCTCCTGTCACTAATTCTCCTTTCTGGGTGAGCAACAGCTCTATTAACCAAGAAAGACCTTGATGGGCACAGCTTCTCTGTCTTCAAATTCAGGTGCACTTCAAGTGCCTTGCAGAGCGCGACAGGGTGGCCGGGTCACTGAATCTGATTATAGTGTTGCTTGGTCCAAAGTGTCTAGCTTTTCCCTCTCTTTCTCTTTTTTTCCTCTCCCTAAAAAGTGGTATGATTACTTTATGCCAAACCACTCAAGGATAATTCATACTGTCAGGAAACCCTTGTGTTTGCCCATTATCCAAGACTTTTGGGCTCACTTCATATTCCAGAGTGGCATGCTGTAATGTAACGCGATTTGAAATACTGTAAAGCAATAACCAAAGTAACACAGTTTGACATCGTGAATCTCAGAGGAGGCACACACACTGGCTACAAAGGATTTTCACTTATCCAGTACCTGCTACTTGATATTATTTGCCTTTTTAAAGCATTATCGGTTTTTAAATGTAATTAGAAGAAGGAGGTGTTGGTAAAGACAATTTCCTGTGCTTGAGAAGAGAAGTCAGTGGTATATAAAACTCAAACTGGGATCCCCAGAGGGACACCCTGGGCCCCTGCATATGACATACAGTAGACTATCACATGATGAGATATTACTACTCGCTTGTCGGGGCCCCCAAAGTTCTTTGTATATAGAATTCATTCAATCAAACTATTGCTATTTACTGTGTACCTACTATGTGTAAGGCTCTGAAGGAAGCAGCTGATATGCAAACTGGACATCAACAAGCTTACAATAGGACCCACCAATCAGATTCAAGTATGTTCATGAAGAAATTTCTGGGGCAAATACCAGTTTTGCTTTTGCAGTTGATTTGTTTGTTCTTTGTGTAGGCCAACAAAAACGGTATGAGGCCAAGTGCAAAACACCTGTTTTAACCTCAGCATCACAAAATCTGAAAAGTCAAGAAAATCTGCAACCTCAGCATGGAAGTCCAGGTTTAGCACAGAACCCATTCTAAGGGAAAGAATAAGTTTTTAAAAACAAAACCACCACCACCCCACACACAATTCTTTCTTCTTCTGAAGCCTATCGCTTCTTCCACTGCAAACATGGATACAACAGCGGCCAATTGATGAATTCATTTTCTTACTTCCTGTATTCATGTCTGCCCTCACAATCCAACTTCCCATGTTATCACTCAACTCTTTCTACCCTCCCCAACCCCTGCACTTGGCCTTCAAGCTACACCTGACAGGTGGACCACTTTGTTTCCTGTCACAGAGTCCCTCACAACAGCCTGACCCTCTCACTTTCTCTCCCACTTCTCAGATTGATTGTTCTTGATTTCCATCATGATTCATTCATTGTATTCTTTTCTGAAATCTGTGCTGAGTTCTTTTCTCTTTTATATCATATTCAAAGGCAAATGTGCCTGGGTCTCACTCATCTTCAGCCATATTTTTTTTTAAGATTCTCAAGTCCCGTTTTCCCCCATCTGATGTCCTCTCCAGCCTTGAGGTTCTGATCTACCTGCCGATATGTCTAGCTATGTGCTCTCTTCTCCTCCTAATTGGCATAAATGGTGGAGACTTCCTGTCTTAGTCACTTTTCCCTCATTGCTGAGACAAAAATACCACACACCCAAGGTTAAAGGAAAAAAGATTTGTTTAGCTCACAGTTTGCACAGATTTCAGTCCATAATTGGCTGGCTCCAAGACAGAGTGATACATGGCCGAGTGGCAACAGTGGTAGCATGGTAGCAGAAGACAGCAAAGCAACCAGAGAGAGAGGAAGAGCAAGCCTCCGTCCCTTCCTCAGATTGTATACAGTCTACCCATCCTAGGGTGAGTGTAGCATTCACACTCTTAATCCCAGCATCAGTCAATGAATCAGTCACAAACTCTAGACTGAGCTGCCTCCAAACACCCCTCACACAACGGCATGAAGATTTAGGGGTACATCCAACCACAAACCGTAACACCTCTCATACTGATTGGAGCTGTCCACTGTTTCAATTCTCCTGACACCTCAGCCTAGGGCTTCTTGGAGCAATTCACATATGCGCAGCTATTCCCCAGGCCTGGTTTTTCAACTTTGAGTTTCCTCCTCCTGAAATCCCTTCCACCCAAATGCTTCCATTATGTTCTCACTTCTCTGCTGAGGGGGCCTAGATAGCTCCCAATGCTTCCTGCATCTGATTGTTTATCAAACTCAATGCTTCTGTCTCTATGTGGTCTGTCTTCCAAGATTCATGAGCTGGAAGCTTGATCCCCAGTGTGGTGACACTAAGAGGTGATGAGACCTTAAGAAATGAGGACTGGTGAGAGGTGGTTAGGTCTTTAGGAGGGATTGATGCTTCTCTCACAGGAGTGCTTCCTCTCACAGGAAGTCCCATGAGACCAGATTGTTTAAGGAACACCTGGCATTGCTCCTGAATCTTCTTGTTTCTCCACTTGTACACTGGCTCCCGCATGCAGCCACTTAGTTCTCTTCTGGTTCCCCATTACACCGCAATGCAGCCAGGATGCATCGCCAGGGTGCCAGTGCTACAGTGTTTGGACCTTCCAATCAGCAGAAGTTTAAACCAATAAACTTCTTCAGTTAACAAAGTGCCTCACCTTGGGTATTGTCCCAAAATGGACTGCGATATTGTGTAACCGTTCTGTGTTTTTACTTTGTTTTCTGTCTCCATTACTAGACTGTAAGTTGCAAGATGGTAGGTACTTTTCTTATAGACTATTTTACTCCCAACACCTAATAGGGAACAGTAAATGCTCAATGAAAATGTTTCCATTAGTTCTTGCTGATGATTTCTTAAATTTAACTTCAGCAGACTTCTTGAGGTTCACATTCACTTGCATATTGCCTCTTGAAACATATCAAAACCCAGTCTTGATTTTCTGTTGTTGCTTCTTTTCATCACATTACATGAGTAAATCCAGCTATTCATTGCTCAGGCCACAAATCTGGGTGTCATTACTGATTATCCCCTCTCCTTCTTTCTCACATATACCTACATCAACACGAAGTCCTGTAAGTATCCCCTCCAAACTAGATCTACAATCTCCCTGCAGCTCTACCCTATGATACTACTTTTATTAGCCACCATGATTTCTACAAAGAAATAGTCTTTTAACTAGTGTTCCCAGGCACACATTTCCTTCACATAGAATCCAAAGTTTTGTCTTAGAATCTACATCCAGTGACTTCATATCTAAGTTTAAATACTTCTCTCTCTTTCTCTCTCTCTCTCTCTCTCTCTCTCTCTCTCTCTCATTCTCTCTTCTATAAGCCCCAGCATGTCCTGTCCTTATCCTTTTATCCTAGCTGTATCCCCATTTCTACATCAGCTGTTTACTTCCACCCTGACTTTCTTCACTTGTAAGACATGCAGGATCTTTTCCTACACTATTCTTTTATCAAAAAGGTTCTTCTCCACAGCGGTTAGCCCACACACCCCCACTTTGGCCTTCAGGCTAGGCTTAAGTGTCACCTTCCCAGAGACAGCAGTAAACATACTAAACAGCTTCTTGCCCCACTGCATTTATCCAGGTTTCCTGTTCTCCACGTGATTCACCCCTGCACTGAAAGATAAGCTCCCAAACAACAGCTTCTAAATTGATCCCACTGTATAATGTGCTCCTGGCATAATGTATAAGATGTGTCAAATTATTATGAACCACTGGAATAAAGGAAACTAGGGAGGAAGAAAGGGAAGAAAGAAAGTCTGGAAAGAAAACAAGATAGAAAGTAGAAAGAGGAAGATAAAGGAAGAGGGGAGACAGAGGGAGGAGAGAAAGAAGGAAATTTTAAACTAATAGGACCTCTTATGTTTTATATGTCCAGTTAAAGTATGTCTATGTAGAGGATTTAGTATGAACTAGTCTTTGTATGTTGGGTCTTTACATGCACCATACAAAACAGATTTGTCATTTCTTAGCATTCATAGAGTATTGGTTTCCAGTCCCCTTGTGAATCCCAAAATCCAAGAATGGTCACATCCCTGATATAAAATGCTCTAGTACTCACATATAACCCATACACATACCCCTATATTCTTTAAATCATCTCTAAGTCATTTACAATGCCTAAAACAATGTAAATAATTGTTATACTATACTTTTGGGAAAATGACAAGCAAAAAAGCCTATGTTTCCACTATAAATTTTTCTAAGTAATTTTGATCTGTGGTTCATTAAATTCAAAGTGCAACTATGCTCCTGTTGTTCCTACTTTTGCCAAATAAGAAATAAAACTTCATTACGTGGAATTATATTTGACCAAGGTTACCTAGTTAGTAAATAAGGGAGTGTAAGCTTGACTCCAGAGAGTGTTTTTATTTGAAACACTATCTGGTATGCCCTCAAAAGACAAAATTCTCATTTGATTTATCTTTAATGTTCAATATCTAGGCTACAGTAGACAATCAATAAGTGTTTGGTGATTGAAGGAGAGAGAATAGAAAATTATCAGACTTCCCAATGCTCACAAGGATTCCGGGAGACTCCTTGGTAATTTGGCTGAAGTAACTATTCAGTCAACATTGAATCAAATGTGAATTGAATTGAGTTACCCCTCAAGTAATAGAGTTAGATGTATCTCCCAAATTGAAGCCAGCAAACTCCCTTCTCTATGACTTTGCAACTTATCACTGTCAGAAAGCCTGAGCATGGAGAGAAGGGGCTGAGCTGGCATACACAGAAGAGTCTGGAAAATAATCAATTGAATTCAAACCGCCATACATCACGGGTGTTTAGAGCCAGAAAGGATCTGGGAGATCATCTGCTTCTCATCTTTCATTTCACAGAAGAATAAGAAGAAACAGCCCAGCAGGGGTTATAGCTTCTCCAAGTCACTCAGCTTAGTGAGATATTAGTATGAGGGATGCTGGCATTTGTCCCTGTCTGTTCCACAAACTAGCCCTATGTTGCATAATACAGCCCTTGGGTTACTTTTCTCATTGCTGGAACAAAACACCCAACACCCAAAGTTAAAGCAGGAGAGGTTTATTCAGCTCACGGTTTGTAGAGGTTTCAGTCTATAGTCAGCTGGCTCCACAGAGGACAGTAATTCATAATGGGTAAAATATAGTAAAAACTACAAGGAGGAAACAGTGAGACAAACTTCTTTCTGTCCCTTATATTGTATCCAGTCTACTGGGATTAGGGCGGTGTCAGTACAATCAGTGAATTGATCTAGTAGTCACTCACCATTTATCTTAGCATGCTTAATCCCCAAATTGCACTATGAGTCAATCACACATTCTAGGTTCTGTCATCACCAAAAATATCTTGAGGAACACGTGAGGCTTTGGGGGGATTCCAGACACAAATCATAATAGTTGTGAAGTGCCTGGCTATACTATTCTCTTTCTTTCTCAATAATCCTTCTATAAATATCCAAGTTCTTTTATTATTGTGTGTGCCTACTTAGCATTGCACTTGCTTTTTAAATTAATGTATGTTCCGTTACCCTTTAAAATGACTATCTGCTTAACTGCTTTGTTTAAACATTTGCAAAATTATAAGTATTGTGGCTTAGATCTACAATGTCTGCTAAGTCTCATGTGTTTGGAAGGTGACCAGATCCTGGGGGTGCTATGCTCATCAGTGGGTCAGTCCATGAATGAGTTCAGTCGCTAACTGCACTGTTAGGTGTGGGGCCTGGATAGACATGAATCACCAGGGCTGTGACCCGGGAGGGTGTCTTCCTGCTCCCGCTCCCTGCTTCCTATACAGTGAACAGCTTTTTTCCCTCACGCCACTCTGTCATTCTGTTTCTGTCTTGCAGCCATCTAGCCATGGAGTGAATCTACTGAAACTGTGGGCATAACTGAACCTCTCCTTCAAGTTGCAAGTGTTGGGTGTTTTGTCCCAGTGACAGAAAAGTTGCCAAAACAGAAAATTAGTAGTGACAGTGAGATCATTCTCTGTGACCTACCCAAACATGTGGCTTAGAAGCCTTTGAAACTCATTTTCAGGGGAAATTTGGAAAGCTTTGGAGATTTGGAGGGTCGAGAAGCCCTAGATTGCTGTAAACAGACTTTGATGGATGATTCAAAGTAAAGTTCAAAAGACAGGATGCTAACAGGAATATGAACTTTAAAGGCCAGTGTTAGGAGATTTTTATAGGGACTCCATTGGCAGTTGGGCAAGAGACCATGTACGTAACATTGTGGCAGAAAATTAGACTTTCATTTTTCCCATGTCCTGAGACATTACAGGACACTAAAACTAAGAATGGACTAATAGATCTGAGAGAGGATATTTAAAGGAGACCCAATATTCCAACTGTGGCACCCACAGTGCTATCTGTTTTTATCCAGATCTAAAGTGAGAATCAGGGTCAAAAGGCTAAACCAAAAGATATAAAATGTTTCAGTTTTTCCAGAAAAGAAGGATTTGCAAAGTTTGGGCAAAGGAGAACATACTGAAAAGATTAGGACTGAGAAATCTCAAGTACCTAGCAACAAGACAATTAGGAAAATGTGACTTGAAGGCATCTCACTGACCAGACCTCAGTGGTATAAAAGAGTAAACACTTTTGGAAAGACTTCAATTTAAGAAGAGAGTCCCAGGGTGTCTTATTCATCCAAGATCATAGAAGGAAATGTTTTCCCAAGTTCAGGCATGTAGGTGCTCAGAGGTTACTGCAGCTATGATCCAAGGGGATAAAGTTACTGCTCTGGCCAGTGGCAGACATCATCACTACATGAAGCTGGCTATACAGGCATGCAGAATGCAAGAGCTGTGGCATCAAGGAGCTTCCACCCAGATATTTTTGAAAAGACTAGAAGTCCAGGCAATGTGCCCCTAAGAGGGCAACGTGTAATACTGTAACAGTGAAGCCAAAGGTGCAGTGTAGAAGCCAGTACGTTATAGATGACAGCAACAGGGAACATCAGTTAAAGACAGCTGAAGGTAGTCAATGGGGCAATCCCAAGAAAGACCACATGAGCTTCAGACAGCAGGGGCATAGAAGCTGCCCAAGCCCTTTGGAGCTTACAAATCATTAACCTACTGCAGGTATAGGGCATGGAGACATAGGCATTAATATTTGTCCCCTGGTTTTTGGTCATGCTTCAGTCAGGATTCTTTCCATGCTATTTCTCCATTTTGGAATGGGAATGCTTACCCTGGGTCATTGTACGTTAGAAAGACATAACTTTCTTATTTTTACAGAGTGTCACAGCTATGAGTTTGGCTTGTGTCTCAGAAACTGGAGACTTGGACTTGTCAGCAATATTGGAATTGTTAAGACTTTGGCAATTCTTAGAATAAATGCATTTTGCATATGAGTGGACATAAGCCATTTTGAAGTCAAGAGTAGAATATTATTGCTCAGATCTAAAATATTTCCCCAAAAGTCTCATGTGTTTGGAAAATAATTATGTCATGGAGCCCTGTGGATTGTGGATGAGTTCGTTAGCTGAATATGCTGTTCGGAGGTGGGTCCTGAGTGGAGTGTTCTGAGAGATCTGAGAGGGGATGTGTATCAGACTGCACCTGACATGTCCACGAGTAGCACAGGAATGAGGTGAAGTGCGCTCTGACAGTACATTTGGTACATCTATGATGCAACTGCACTTTCTCTGCAACTGAGGTTATGTTTGATTTGGCTTGGTTTGTGTGTGCGTGCGTGCGTGTGTGTGTGTGTGTGTGTGTGTGTTTAAGACAAGATCTCACTCTGTATCTTAGGCTGGCACTGAATTCACTATGCAGCCCAGGGTGGCCTCAAACTCACAGCAATCCTCCTGCCTCATTTTCCTGAGTGCTGCAATTACAGGCATGTAGCACCACACCCAGTTATGCAACTGAGGTTATAAAGGCGGAACAAGCATAGGCTGCCATCCTTAAGGTTACGATACAACAAAGGAAACAGATATGTTATAGCCAACCCTTAGAAACAGTGGGCTGCACATGCAGCTCTACTTGTAAACTTTTCAGGTGCAAGATGATGTGTAATCCTGTTACTATTTGAGAGGTGCTTTGTGTGAATTGCGGCAGAGGGCATCCGCACTGATACGTTACTTTAGCACCGTTCTTCTCTAATTTGATTTCTGGGTCTCAGCCAATACCTCCATTGAAGTTGGTATTATTCATATTAACAGTAACAATATATATTACATATGGATTATAATTTTATATATTTTTTTTCTTTCAGAGATCAGATTTCTTCTCATCATCTGTAAACTGCCCATGTGACTCCATTCACATTTAGATCTGTATACCTAGAACCTCAAATCTACTTTTCTGTAAATTCTTAAAGGTCAGTTCATCTATGCTGTAACTCTTTATCCTGTATGTAAGGTTTTCTATCACCCATGATGTATTAGACATTTTCCATTATTGTAATAAAAAATCTGACATGATCAACTTACAAATAGAAAAGGGTTATTTTTTATCACTATTTTGAGGGTTTCAAATCTGGACCAATTGGCTCCCATTACTTTTGGGCATGTGGTAAGGTCAAGTATCCTGGCGGGCATGCCTGACAGAGGACACCCATGCACCTCCTGGCTGGGAACTGACAGAAGGCCAGCCTGGGCTACCTATCAAGTTCAACGCCACCCTGAACTACATAGTGAGACCCCGCCTCAGACACAATATCTAATGTTTAAGTAATAGAGTATATTTAAATGATATGATATATTTAAATGATATAATTTTAAGTAATTATCATGGGAGAGGGACATGAAAGGAAAGAACTAATATAGGCAACTTAGTTTTCACAGAAGATCAAATAATTCTTCAGCATGTCTACTTCCACTGAAGAAATTTTAATTTTCGTGTTTGTCAGTAGGTATGCTTTTATGGAAAAGGGCTCTAACATGTTCATCCTAAATTGAAAGAGGCCTGGGAAGAACATTCAGAGAGAAAGACGTGGAACACTCATCCTAAGAAACAGAGATCACTAGGAAATATGGGTCATTGTTGGTCTAAAAAAATCTATATCAGGGGGCCAGGGGTCTAGCTCAGCAGCACAAGCACCTATCTGGCAAACACAAGGTCATGAGTTCAATCTCTGGTACCAAAAAACAATTATAGCTGGGGGGAGGGATATAGCTCAGTGCACAGCCTGGCAAGCACAAGGTCCCCCCACCCACCCCCCAAAAAAAACAAGTACAGCAATAATAAGCATAAGGGGAGACTTCGACCTTACTATAAGGGATTGGAAGATTTACAGGAGATGAAAAAGTACAAAAAGCTTGCCCAGGCAAGTTATTTGTAGATATTTGCTCATAAGAAAGAAAAAAAGAAAAGATGGACAGTAACAAAAAGGGAATGCTGCTGCCTGCAGGGTGATCTTTCAGGCTACAGGATTCTGCATGACTTGAAGGGAAAGGATCAGTGAAGTAAGTACTGGAGAAATAAGTCAGAAGGGCTCTGTGGGCCCAGAACCCTGGGCAAATCGTTCCCAAACTAAAGGTAAGGCGTCTGCGCCCCACATTTGCCGGAAAGCATCCCATTACCACTCACCAGTGCTTTCTTCATGTTTAAAGAGAAGGCAACAAGTACCCTTCCATGTGTCACCCTGCTCAGGGGGCCTAAGGGAGACTTTCCCAAGTAAGATCCCAACGCATGCAAGACATCAGCAATCACAGCAGGCCGCACGGAGCGGAGCAGAGCAGAGCCGAAAGTGCAAGAGCCAGAGCCAGAGCAGAGCAGCCGGTGTCTTTATTGTATAATTCTTACTCAGGCTGCTGTCTCTTATTTACATTCTTATATAGTGCTTTAACCAGCTCCTGGTATTTGTCCACTGTTACATTGTGATTTTGTAACTGTATCCCACTGTGTGCCTGTGCTAGACAATCGGGGTCATGTCCTCAGTTGTCCTTAGAAGCCCCTGAGTTTTGCAGGAGTCTGAGTGGTTCTGCACACCATGCATTCACTCTTTGTCTCCCCCAGGGAAATCCTTTGTTACATAAAGGCCACCTGAGAAGGCTGTTTGCAAAGCTCTAGTTCTCCCCTATGCCTTATGAGCAACAAAAACATATAGAAAATCAAAGATCCAATGTTTTACTGTAACAATAGGCACCACTGTGGACTAGCACGCTTTTTTCTTAAATTATATAGGCAAAACTTTTGTCTAACTTTAAAAATCCCAAATTGTTTTTCTTGATACTCCAAAAGTAAGCATTTAGCAAATGCCACATTTGGTTCCATGTTTTTAATTATCAGCTATTATTGCAATAGCTGTAACAAACTATCCCACAGGTCAGTTACTTGCAATAAACATTTATTTTTGTTTATTTATTTTTCAGGTATTGGAGTTAGAACCCAGGGACTTTGTGCTGAGTTACATCCCCAGTCCTTTCTTATTTTGACACAGCATCTCACTAAGTTATTAATTTGCCCAGGTTGGGCTTGAACTGTGATCCTCCAGTCTCAGCCCTCCAGAACACAGTGGGATTATAGGCATGCACCACGGTACTGAGGTAATAAACATTTATTTTTTATAAGGTTGTGTAGGTTGATGGTGGGTTGCCTGATGTAGTCTAGGCTCAACTAGACTGTCTTTTCCACAAGAGACAAGTTAGGTTCCAAAGGCCTGAGTGTGCGATCTCTCTGGGATGCAGAGAAAAAAGAAATGTCATCCCAGAACAGGAGCATTAGTAGAGTATGCAAGACTTCTGAAGACCTCCTTCCAGCACTGATCATCCTAACTTCTGCTCACCTTCCATCAGCAGGAGCAAGTCAGGTGGCAAAACCCATGTGACTTCTAGGAGGAGCTGTTACAGTGGCAGATGGCAAAGACGGAGATGTGTCATACTAAGGCGAGGAGGGCCGCATAATTCTGAACGGTGATTCAGTGTGCTGCACTAGAAACTGTAGAGGATTTGGGAAGAAAGAATGTGAGTCTCATACATGTTACGGACCAGCTTTTGTATTCCTCAACATGCAGTACATAATGAAATCAACTGCCATGATAACATACACACACATACATGCATATGCACCCTTAATGATGATCATTTTCACAAACCTGTTCCTTGATATGAACATAGCAAAAACAATTTGAAGAAATGGTGTAGAAGAATGCTTTTTTTTGTTTTGTTTTGTTTTGTTTTGTTTTTGAGACAAGGTCTCACTGTGTAACCCAGGCTGGCCTCAAACTCATGGTGATCCTTCTGCCTGAGCCTCCCAAGCGCTGAGATTACAGGGATGCACCACTATTGCCCAGCTGGTGTGATACAATGGAAACAGCCTTGAATTAGTTCATTGTTCCATCACTGGAACACAATGCCTGACACCCACAATTTAAAGAAGAAGAGGTTCTTGGCTCATGGTTTCAGACTGCAGTCCACCTCTCGGTGCAGCAAACCTGCTCAATTCATGCAGCCGGGAAGCAGAGCAAGGGAACAGCCCTAGCGAGGAAGGTGTCGGGGCTGTGTAGCCTCTCAAGGTCACGCCTCCACCACCCACCCAGGCACACCCTGAAAGTGTACTTCACTAATCCCCTATGTGGCTGCCAGGCTGATCAAGTTGACACAGTTAAGCTTAACCATCACAAGCCCTCTATTAGATGTCCCAAAAACTGGGTTCTGCCACCAACTTAACGTGTACTCTTCTGCTTAACAGAGAAAGGCTTTAATAAATCAGGAAACCAGCTTCCATAGCCAGGGCTAAAGGCGGAATAAGAAACTCTTCCTAGATTAACAGTAACAGTTGCAACCCCACACACCCAGGAATTCTAGGCTTTGGGTTTAATAATATGACAGCTCCCCAAATAGTAAGGAACTTGTGATTTTTCCCCCAGTGCACGTGCATGAGGGATGTAATGACAGTAGGTTTATAGCACCAGGAACCACACTCCCTCGGGAAAGGAATACTAATGCAGACAGCCCCCAAGCAGGCACATCTCTAGCAGGTTGTACTGATGATAGTAGTACAGGCCCAACCAAGTACAGCATTCACCTGCGTCTTAGGGAAATATTTCACACATGCATGCAAGAAAAAGCCAGAGTCCCAGAACAGAGACATATAGAGAGATCTCAGCATATTCCAGGGCACAAATATGTCTTTCTGACCATCTCACTCATGTTCAGAGATAATCTAGACTTTCTCTTTTCCAATAAGCTGCCCTGACTTTTAGTATTTAAAAAACTCCCAGCCTAAGTGAAAAATAAAAGTGTTGAGATGCATTAACCTATACATGCACAAAGCATAGGGACTTCAAAGGTTAATCCTTACATTAACTGAAAACCAGTAGGATCCTCAGTCTAGGTGCCTCCAGAGGATTAATCCAAAAAACCCTAAGGTGTAATACATTAAAGTCTTCTTCTGGGGTCATCATGAAAGGCCTTGCTCTTGGAAGAATTGAGAAAAACCATCACTTGGGTCAGTTCCTGTGTGTTTCATGGTCCCAATGAGAAGCCCAGCTGAAAATCACAGCATGACTGCATGCTATTGATTTCCTTGCAGTCTGACTTATGTAAGAAAAGTAAAACCTGTTGTTTGGCAAGTAGACATACAGCTTACTCAAATAATTTAACAAAATAAACATTGTACTAATACATAATGTGGCAGGAGTGTCATTACCCTCTTGAACAGATGAACATTCTTGCTGAAGGGTTCTTTTATCTGTACTAGGCAAAGGGGATCTTTCCATTTTTATGAAATGAGGAGATACTGGGTTTCGCAAGGGATCAGGGCTCACTCCATCGTACTGGCTTCCTGGCAGACATGAGCCAAGGACAGCAATTTCTTGATGTCTACTGGAACACTCTCTCCCTTCCTCTGCTCTTTTTCCTTCAGAAGCATGCTTTCCAATTATTCTCCATGAAGTGCTTTGTGCACATTCACTCTCCAGAGAGTACTTCTGAAGCATCCTTGTTCTTGTACCCAATCACTTAGCACGATGGCTCTGTGAATCTGTGGTTTGGAAACCTTCCTGTTGCTCCTAATTATTCCACTTCTTGGATTCCTAGGATGCATGCACCTGATAATCAAGAGTTATTCATTGGAAGTCTTCATTACATTGGATGCAGATAATGCAAATTTTATTCGTGAAATGCTACTCAGGGCCTCCTTTTCTGAATGAAGACGATGATTTACTTACAATTTCAGAACACACACAATAGGTGGAGAATTAAAATAATGGACAAAAACTAATAGAAAACAGGTGTGACTCTGAAACTTAAATTGTGCATTCTTCAGGCTTGAAGCAATGCTGGGAAAAGAATGGCGATAGCAAAAAAGAGAGAGAAATAAACAATAAATTCTCACTGAATGAGTGCAGCTTTGCAGCTGGAGCCCATTTCAGCATCTTACTGTGCAACCAAAAATGAACACGCAAAAATTGCTAAACTAGGTTCGTTTTATTTCCTCTAGAGACTGGGAAGAAGATGGTAAGAGTGTAATTAAATTTTTGTAAAATGTTTTCTAAATAAGTTCAGGAGCTGTATCATCTGGGTTGACAAATTGGTACCAGGTCTGAAGTTCTTGTAATAGTAAATGTCATGACGCCATAAGAGAAACTCATCACTCAAATCCACAGTTGGGAAGACAACAAATTTAAGGGAGATGCAGAGAGCAACTGAAGGCCAAGCATCCATGCGGGCTCGTGATGCGTGGTAAGTTACAGGAGGAGTGGAGATAACCTGCTGGCCCTCAGGGCCCAGCATATCTTGAAACTGCAAACGACTAACACAAGCGCTTAATTTTGACACCCTGTGCCCACTCATGCCCTAATGCTGAGTAGTTCCACCAACTGGTTTTAGCCAAGTGGTGTCCTGTTTTAAACAACTCTTTTCCTTCTGTTCTAAGATCTGAATCACACTCTGCTAAAGTAGACTAATTCATTCCTGCTGCATTTCGGCAGATGTCCTTGATCAGATGCATTGAAATAGTTGAGGGGAACAAGATGGGGCACAGATCAATCAGGTTTCTTTTGAAAAATGCTGTACTCATTAGGTTTCTCCAGAGGAACAGAATACAGTATATGCAAGAGGATTTATTGAGTGTGTTTGCAGGATCAAAGGCCAGAGTGTCCACAATGGCTGTCTGTGTGCTAGAGAGTCAGAAGGTCCAATAGGTGTTCAGTCAAAGAAGCTGGAATCTACAAAACAAAAGGGATGAGGGATGTAGTACCAGGCTGAGACCAAAGATGGGAAGCTCCCTGCAGATTCACTCGTATGAGTCTGCACTGGAAGGCTGGAGAACCTGCAGTCTGATGTCCACAGATGATGGCAGCAAAAGATACAGCTTACAAGGCATAACGCAATTCTTTAAAATAAGTGACAATTTCCTTTCTCTCTCCCTTTACCCAGCTACAAGCCTATTGGTTGGTGCTCCCCACAACCAGCACAGGTCTTCTCCCCTCACTTTGTTGAACTATATGCCAGTCATCTCTGAAAGCACCCCCAAAGATGCCCCCAGGGCTGTACATTCCTAAACCACTAGACAAGTTTAACCCAGTAAGGTAGGCATGATTAATGGCCACAACTGCTATAGTTTGGACCTGTATTATGCCACTGCACACACACCATGTTTGCTATTGGGAGCTGGTAGAAGTTTTAAAATGTGAAGTCTTTTGAGAGGTCTTCAGGCCATTGGAAATGTAGCTTGGAAGGAGATAGTGGTTTTCTCTCTGTGTCTGTGTCTGTGTGACTCTTTCTGCCTGTCTGTCTCTTTCTTCCTCTCTCTCTGCTTCTCTGTCTCTCCTTCTCTCCTATGTCCTGACCAGATGATAACGTTTGCTTCATTAGACACACCCACCACAACATTTTGCCACTGTTCACCCAACCATGGGCTAAATCTTCAAAAACAATAATTTAAAATAAAACTTTTTTCTTTATAACTTGACTATCTCAAGTATTATGTAACAATAGCAGAAAACTGATGAACACAAAAACTAAACACACTGTAAATCCAGACCTAAGTAATGAAAGAGGAGTAAGCAGCTAATGTGACAGAAAGGAAGGGCCTCAGAAATAAAGGTGGTCATTCACATCTCCCATTTGTGATAACTTCCCCCTCCCCAAAGGGGTCATGCCATAGGTCCTCAGCATCCTCTTCTAAGGCCAATTGGAACCAAACATTTGGAGGCCACTTTAGAGCGATCTAATCCAAGAACCCATGGAAAGTAGTACCCACTGCAGCTTTTGGTTTAAAAATGTATAAGTAATTTGTTTCAAATGCATATCCCTGAGCCTTGTCCCAAATATTCTGATTCAGCAGTGCTAAGGATGGGCCCAAGAATCTTCATTATTACAAGTTCCCAGATGGTCCCAGTGTTGGCAAATGCACTTAAAGAAATGTTAGCCAAAGTTTCCGTGCCATGCTAATGCTTCAGAATGTTTCGGGGAGTGGTTCTCACTTCCAAGCAGGCAGACAAATTTGGTTATTAAAAAGAATTCGCTGTTCCTTAGTGTTGCTGCCAGCTCTGCATTCTGGAACCACCTGCTGTATCTCTTCTCCTGTAATGATGTTCCAAGATGAGAAGACATTTCTCAGTCCCTCATCCAAGGCTTCTCTCCTCCATTTCGTTTCTTTCAGACTTCATACCTCACTCGGAATAAAGTCCAAACTTGTGAACTTGTAGGGGTCTCCATGATGTGGCCCATGCTGCCTCTCTCCAGCCTTGTCTCCCTGCAGTGTTTGACTCACATATTAGATTTGCACAGAGCCCAAGAACCATTGCTCATACACATGCTTGCCTCTGCTCTCAGTTCTTCCTGTGGAAAATGTGTCGATGACATTGCTTCCTTTCCCACTCTCGCCTTGAGGTGTTAGATCTTCAAGACTCACCCAGGCTCATGGCCTCTAAGAAACCATCATCACTGCTGCAGACTAGGCCATTTATACTTTTCACATGAGTTGTGATT